GGCCTCCGAGGCTGCAGTGGGCGAGATTGCACCACTGCACTCCAGCCTGGGCAACAAGAGCGAAACTCCATCTCAAAAAAAAAAAAAAAAAAAAAGAAAAGAAGAAAGGATAAGATAAGCTTTTAAAATAGTTAGCTAAAAACATTTTTTACAACCAACACGAATCACTTTTATAATTAAAAGCTACACCTCCTCCAATGAAGATCTAAAAACAATAAAGAATGAAATCAAGGTTGTGTATTACAGCAAGCTGAACTCTGGTGCAAAGTATCTTTGAAAACTGAAATGGATACTTACCTAATTTCCCTTTATTCTATGTCTTTTTCATTGTCCCTGTACAGAAATATAACCATTCTGGCTGACAAGGATTTAAAAAAATGAGAGAAATATAACCGTATTAAAAGTCAAGTCCCTAGAGGACATGTGTCACTCTGTGGCTGCTCACCCTCTAGTCATCCTTCTAATGGCACATCCCATGCATAACTGGCAGATATGCATTCCCATGCATTCACCAGAGATACTGATTCTGGGGTGGCCTTTGCCTTTTACCAACTCCCCGGGTAATAGTTTGTATCTGAGAACCTACTGATTTTGGGTTACTGTATGAACGAACGGCTATGCAGTGAAAGAGGAACTGGATTTGTTTTCTGTGACCACTAAGGAGACATATTTTTGCTTAGCAGAAGAAACAGCTTCCAAAAAATCAGAATTGTCCCAGGATGGCTGCCCCATGGGGTGAGTTTCCCATCAGTGCTGGTGTAAAAGGAGGAACATACAGGGCTTCAGGGGAGTCTGCTTGAGGCTGGGGGTTCACTTTCAAATTCTCGGTTTATGTGACTCTTTGGGTCTCCAAAAATATAAAGAAAGCTTGAAGAAAAAAGCCTTCAAACTCAGGGTTTTCCTAAATTTTAAGTAGGGGCCATGATTTACAAGAAATGTAACACCAATTTTCAAAAAATTTTCTGATTATAAAACACATATTCATTGCAGAAAATTTTTAAAATACAGAAAGTTATAAAGAAGAAAAAATATAAAAATCATCATACCACTGAACGATATACACTTTCTGTTGTATCTCCTGGCTTCTTCCCCTCTATAAACATATCACACTACCTTTTTTTCATTTAACAATAATTGTGCACATGTTTCCATGCAATTAAATACTGTAGAAACAGAATAATAATATTCCACTTTATGGATATACCATAATTAAGCCATTTTCCTATAGTTGAATATCTAGGTTGTTTCCAATTTCAATTATAGTCTTCTAATTACCAGGAAATCACAAGTGCTATTATACAATTTTTCAAATATACACAAACAATATAACTACTGTTTTGAGCCTCTGTGTAACTGTCATGCATTCCAGTGTACACTGAGTATTAGATAAATACAAGTGTACTTACTATAATAAAGTGTTGTTTGAAAAAAATAAACCTAAGGAATAATGACACTTTCCAATTGTTTGAAATACATTTGTAGACAAATCCCAACTGATTCTAGCTTGTCTAAAAAACCCAGGTAATATCAGTGGAACAAACACAAACATATAAGTCACAGCATTTAAGCCCAGAAATTAAAGATGGAAGAAAATATGACCCTTATGTTTTCACATCAAGTTGAAACTGTTACAATTAAATTAAATTAATTAAACACAACTCATTTCAGCTGGCACTACAATGCTGAAAACAATCACAGAGATTTCTTGTTCTTTACCTGATTAAGATGGCAGAGCAAGGAGTTTTCTACTTAGTTCCAGGTGAATTCTTCACATTTCCTGGCTTTTAAAACAAAAGAAAGAGCTTGAATGCAGTTTGAAAAGAAACAGTGCAACTCCTTAGTGTCCTGAGTATTTGGCTGAACATGAACATTAAAAATTATTATGCGGGACAGGGTCAAACTATTTTATTGAGGACTTGGGGGGTTGTTGAAGAAAGGCTGAGGAGGACAATGAGATCCCACATTCTCGCAGTTGCCAACCATTAAATATTATTATACTGCAAAGTGATCCATCTCTCAGTAAATTGAAGAAGTTACTAGGGCTCTCTGAGGGCCCTGCTGTAGAATGACTTGGGCAGAGAGAGCAGGAAATAAAGCGCCATTAATCCTCATTATGCAGATTCAGCCAAACAGTTGATTCTATTAAAAAAATCAATATATCTTCCTATTTTATTTCCTGAAATAAAGGTTTTACACCTACGGGTAAGGCTTCCTGTAGGTATTTACTCCATGCGTTATTCACCATTATCCACCATAGGGGCCAATCCACAAAACATGTTTACTGTGAAAGAAGTTAGACCACACCCAATCTGCCTAGTGGCCATCCGGGAACATATAATTAGGTCATGTAATCCATAAGAAGCAGTGTAAGAAAAGCTTCTAGTGGGAAAAGTTCACGTGCTAAACTTTTAAGGCCTTACTTTCTTTTCTGTATGTTTTTTAGACTTTAATTCTCAAAACACATTAATAGAGATCAGATGGCAGTGTGAAAAACAGGAGGCTGCAGCTGGGTGGGCTACAGTGCTATGATTCTGTTGTATAGACTTGGAGCAGTTTCTCCCGGTGCCCCTCTTTCATAGTTATTCATGGTTGAAGGAAGGGGAAAAGGTGAGAAAGCAGGAGCACGTGACTAACCCTGTCATTTCAGAGCACGGTTTCTAGGCAACTTTGGGGCTCCCTGGAGTGGCTGAGAACTGGTCTATAAGTACTGTTTTATATCCATTGTCCCAGCATAATTAATAGTGTCCCCTTTCACTCTCAAGAGTATCCTGGTTTGCCGCGTTGTGTTGGCTCACGCCTGTAATCCCAGCACTTTGGGAAGCCGGGGTGGGAGGATCCATTGAGCCTAGGAGTTCAAGACCAGCTTGAGCAACATTAAAAAAAAAAAAAAAGGTTTTAAAAAAATGAATATCCTGGTTTTGATGATAAAGTATATGGTCACCACATCCGCTTGATGATGGAGTTCTGGGAAACAAGGCCATACGAACTGCTTGGTGGACCAATGATCAACAGACAATTCTCAGCTCTACTTGACATTCTGAACAGGAGTGCTACAGGACTGAGAATCTGTGCCCTTCTCCTCTAGAGCCACTCCCCACCCCGCCTCCTCACATGCATGCACACAAGCGAACACACATACACATATGTGAACACACACCCACCGACACCCCAGAGGCCTTTTTGCTGTTGCTCGAAATTGCTACACTCCCTATTGGGACAAGACCTTTGCAAAATATACCCCTTGACCAAGACCAGTCAATCCCAATTTTTGCCTAGCTAAATGTTATTCATCCTTTACATCGAGGCTTTCTTTGTACCCTGTCCTTCAATTTTGCAGAATCTTCTATTCCCTTTCACAGCACTCATGTACTTCCTGATTGTGTAATTATTTCTTTCATGTTTGAGTCTTTCATTAATCTGTAAGCTTCATGAGGGCACACTATCCCTAGGGCCGCCTAGCACATACTATTCAAATATTTGTTGCATAAACAAATCGAAAGCCGGGGCAGTGGCTCACATCTGTAATCCCAGCACTTCAGGAGGCCGAGGCAAGTGGATTACTTGAGCCCAGGACTTCAAGATCAGCCTGGGCAATGTGCTGAAATCCTGTCTCTACAAAAAAATACAAAAATTAGCCAGGTGGGATGACACATGCTTGTGGTCCCAGCTACTCAGGAGGCTGAGGTGGGAGGATCATTTAAGCCAGGGAGGTTGAGGCTGCAGCAAGTTGTAACTGCACCACTGCACTACAGCTTGGGCAACAGAGTGGGACCCTGTCTCAAAACAAACAAACAAATGGAATGGGGTAGAACTTAGAGATATGATGACTGTAAAAAAGTTTGGGTTTCTATTTTCTTAACACGTTCATGAACACGAATAACACTTTCTGTTAGCAAAATTAAAACTTAAAAAAAATCAAAACATTGATTTCTAATTAGTATGACTGCCATGTGAAGGCTGATTGCCAGCCAAACCTTTGAGGTACAGCAGCCTGCTGAAATGTCTGGGTCCCTCACCAGATTAATGAAGAACAAGAAGAGAGAAAAAAAGGCTTATGAGGGCCAGCGAGATAATCATGTCCAACAATTGGGTCTGGCATAAAAACAAGGTGGTTCTCGGCAGGGCGCAGTGACTCACACCTGTAATCCCAGCACTTTGGGAGGCCGAGGTGGGCGGATCACCTCAGGTTAGAAGTTCGAGACTAGCCTGAACAACAGGGAGAAACTCCAACTCTACTAAAAATACAAAATTAGCAGGGCATGGTGGCGCATGCCTGTAATCCCAGCTACTCGGGTGGCTGAGGCAGGAGAATCACTTGAACCCAGGAGGCGGAGGTTGCAGTGAGCCGAGATCACGCCACTGCACTCCAGCCTGGGCAACAAGAGCGAAACTCCA